CTTTTATAAATAATGAGTGTTGTTTGATAAACGAATCACCCTGTATAAGCGTAATATACTAATTAATACTGTGATATATATTTTTAGTTTGTGATATCTTTTGTTTCTGTGTAGGTAATTCAAATACTGACAAAAACTAAAAAAAAATCTATTCCATATTTTTCAATATTTGGAAATCCTTTACAGAAATGTTTAAAAAAATACAAATATATTCTGTTATACATTTTAAAACTTTTTAACCAAGAACTCAATTTTTACAAACAAATATAAGAAAAAAACTTAAAAATTCATAGATTTAATTTTTTTATAAAAATGACAATATTTAAGTAACAGTAAAAAAAGTGTTAAGTTTCTACTTTTTTTTCTTCCTCTATTAATCATATTAGAGATTGTCACTTGTATTACATTTTTTCATCCAATTTTCTGCAATGTATCAAGTAAAACAAATTAGAGCAAAAACCCTAAATATATTACAGGTAGATGTGGTTATTTGGTCACGCGTTCATCMAAGCCGCTTTCTTTTTGGCTGATATACCACCCGACACTCATCTACCTCATCACCGCTGAAAAGGACCTGATTTAGGCCAGGGCGTCTCAGGACCCCGTAGCGATGACTTCACCTTCTCGAAAGCTAGTATCAAGAAAACTTAGAGGAAGAAGACAATTAACGAGTGATACAAGAGGTAATACCAAGGCCTCATGGATCTACCGTCTCAATACAAATATCGTAAGAATGTATAAGATTGGAAAATAGGACAATCCCAAAGGTGCCGTGGATGTATCATATGATTCAGGCACTAAAGGGCAATGGGTGCTTCTAGCATCACTACCTTCAACGCATGGGCAGGGTGGCTAGCATATATAGCCTACAGAAATTTTTCTAGGGAAGGAAGGGCAATGTTAGAATTTAAGGAAAGATATTATAATTTGACTAGGTATTTTATACCAACAAGGCAACAACCTTTAGAAAATATTTTGAAAAATCCAGGAAGCAAATGCCCCAGTATACCAACTCCTCTAGGTGCCTATGGCTACTAACCACTATTTAAGATATTTTTAATCGTGCTGCTAACCTACGCTGCATGCACTGCTCTTGAGGGTCCTGGGTCAATCACATACAGGAAGCAAGAATGATAGCATGCGATGAGACATCCGAGTAGAGGTTGGGTTAGGTTATGTTTGCCGTTAGGCTTATAAAAATTATTGATTTTTTATAGACGATGCTGCATTACGTGAGCCATGTGTAATTTGGCTCCCATGTACTAATGAAAGAAAAGAAAGGTACCTAACCTATCATCAGTATTATGACTATTATCATTCACCTTTAAGTATAATTTCAAATTTCAATTTTTAACTCAAAAACATTAAAAATTCCCCAAAAATTCTAAAAGGTTCTTAAAAAATTAAAAAATCAACTTAAGATTTAATATTATCATAAATTGCCAAATAAAGAATAGGTACGTCATGGTATAAGCATGTTATAAAACGATAATATTTTTGCTAGATTAGGAAAAAAATGCTAAGTGTATTTTAACATTGATTAAGTATTGTTTACTTAATAAATGATTTTAATTATAGAGTAATTTTATTACTCTATGATTTTAATCCAAAATTCCAGCTATAGCCTTCATGATAATGCTTACCGAGTGCATCTATCAAAGACAAATCTTTATTATCTATGACCGAGCCGAGTCACAGGATGGTGTAATCACAGAATATATGAAATATATATATATTAGATATTTTATATTTTTATTTTGATATATATTTCATATATTATTTTCTATCGTATAATATTATATTTTATAATATTTTATATATTCTGCGTCCGAGTGTCACTAAGATAGATAACCATATCACAGTGATGTTATGACGTCATTGTATTATTTGGCTATAATCGTACCTTGGGATTTTTGTTAAGCATTACGATTACGAATGATTTTGATTACGGAATACGGATTACGTTATGTAAAAACATTTACAACTTATAATTGTTTACATTGTATTTTGCGTTCGAGTCGTGAGCTGATGTGCACCGACTGGACACATGACGGTTTGACGTTATTGTCGTGAAGTTGTAAATTTCCATGTAATACCTATGTTAGCGAATTCCGTTTTATTAATCGAACATTATTATTAATACACAACCACGGCCAACGGGTGGTTTTAGTCTTATCGTTTTTATAAAGATATGATGGATTGATATTCGATGTTTTGATCAAATCATCGGCCGTCTTATGATCTGATTTTCGTAAACGTATAAACCCGTTCGTCGCAAAATCGTCGTTTATCTGTTTTATCGTTGATGATACAATTGATACTCACCACTCGCGTTACTACGGTCTACGTTAGACGCTTGTGACTCGTGCCTCATAGCCCAGTGGACTGTGACCAAAAATGGCAGGTAAGAGTTGTACCGTTCTTTTACTATTGGGTACTGTACGTTTTGTTCGTGAAATCGGTACGCGGTGGTAAAAGTGAGCTTTCCCTTGCATTCATTTACACGATTATATACATCATCATACACTATTATTATTGTCTATTATCATTATATACAAATAACAAGTATACAATGTATGTTTTGTTATTTAAATTATATATTATTTCATGTGATACAATACTATTTTCGTATTCCTTTTTATATATTTTTTTAATTGTACTTGTACACGTATGGAAACTGTCACAAATCACGAAGTAAAAATCCTCCCCCTACGTACGACCCCAGAAAAAAGTCCTCAGATTATTAGATTATTACTCACATGATAATGATTTATATGAATATTTTTTACGAATATATGCATTATATATTATACTAATCATCCAAAAATTAAGATATAATTAGTACCCTGTAATAAAATATTACGTTTTCTATAATATATTAACCAAAATGTATAAGATATAAGAACTTCAAATGTCCAATATAAATATAAATATTCTACATCAATAATTAACTGTGATTATTATTGTCAAAATATTTTTATATACTATTTTTTAAGCTGTTAATGATCTACTTTTAGTTTAGATGTATTATTAATTATTATTAACCAGTATCCACCTATATTTTATATCACATCGACATGCTATCATTTAAAATATTTATATAAATAAATATCAAGAATTTATTTAAAATTATTTATAATATTTTATAATATATTCATTTTTTGAATGGTAAGTATAATATGTAATATTATACCTATTTGCACTTCAATATTAACATCATTTTCATGTGATTGTGAGTAATACTGTAGTCTAGGGATTTTTTTTCTCGAGGCCAGAGTTTTTTTAATGTGGATTTTACTGTAATTATTATGTAGTAATTATAAATAATAAATTTTAGTTCGTAAATGGTCTAACTGTTGTTGGTCTGTCGTCTGTATGCTGTAAGCAGGGCTGGGCCTATCAATAGCGGGCTCTAGGCAAAATAAAAATTAGCGTCACCTACCTAGATTTTCAAATTTTATCAAATCAAATTTTGCGCCAACCTTACCAGGCCCTCAGACCTCAGTCCAGCCCTTGCAGTAAGCCTATGGAACAGCAGGCTGCTTGGAAAAATATTAAGTAGTTTGCAACTGGACTACCTCATTTCAAAGTAGCTAGTCTTTTCACAAAAATACAAATTTTCTATATAGCTTACGACATAATATAGTAAAACCTCTATATAATGGAATCCATTGGGACAAAACATTTTTCCGTTATAAAGAGTTTTCTTTCATAGAGAGGTAGAAATTGCATATATAATTTGCACCTGAACTATTGACAATTTCCGTTATAAGGAGGGTTTCATTTAATTGAGCGTCCGTTATAGGGTCCGTTTACCTGTATATATATAAATGTATAAAAAAATATTACAATTTAAAACTTAATTTAGGTAATATAAATAAAATATAATTACTCAACAGAAAAATTAAATATTTTTGAAATTGCATCTTTTTATTTATTGATACAATTTTTAAGCAATATTTATAATTAATAATAAATAAATTAGTTTTTAACAGTGCACATATTTATATGTTGTTAAACTATTAATAGATATTCTTATTTTAGCAGTTGAATGTAAAAACTACTCAAGATTTTCTTTAAAAGTTATTTGTTATTGACGGTTTAAAAAAAACTTTTCCCAAAAGAAACCGGATTCCTAGAACAAGTTTTTGTTTGTAAGAACTCATTTTTTAGTTATCAAGCAATTGACTTAAACTTCTCACTTCAAAAGGTTCTAAACAGTCCAGAAATATTAATGTAATCAATAACTAATGAAAAATTATAACAATGTATTGTTTCTGTTTTACATTTACACTGTGTAGTTATAGATATTAAATAAACCCATATATCTACTTTGTATTTAGATTCAGAAAAGTCTAAATTACTAACTTAAATATTAAATATAAATAAATAAATTTGTAGTAAGGTATTAAAAAATATAATTAGGATACTCAGACTGAAATAGGTAGTGTACTAGAAAAGTACTGTTATATCCTTGACATCGGCTTACATCCCTAAAATTTAATTTATTTAAAAGTGATTAATTTTTTTCAAAAATATTCCTTATTAAATCAGTCATAACTATTTATTGAGGTTGATAAATAGGTTTTAAATATGATTTTTATTTCATTGTCTAGACCATAATTATTGTGATAATGAGAATGTATTAAAATCCACTGAACCATCTATTAGTGAAAATTATGAATCAAAATGTGTAATATCCATGTCAGATGATCCTGAGTATGAAGAAGTACCTAAATCTGGCCCTCAGACAAGGCTTAAATCAAAAAAAAAGTCTGAACAATCTCAATCCACTTGGTCACCAGTTCGAACTGCTCCAGGTCTACGGCCAAATTGCACAATATTTTATGATGGAAATGGATTTGCTTACCATAACCATAAAATTGCAAATAATAAAAAGTAATGACAATGTAACAATAGTATTTAATTTAATTAAATTTTTTTACTTTATATATTTTGATATAGGTATTTAAAATGTACCCAAAAAGGTATTAAAAAGAAACCATGTCCAGCTAGAGCTGTTATTAGAAATTATGACAACATGATTCGTCATTCAGGAGAACCACACACACATAAACCAAGAAACTATGATGAAGAATTACTGAAGAGAAACTTTTTAATGAAAATTAGAGAGAGAGCAATCAATGAAAACACACCTAATAGAATAATTTTTGATGAAGAAATAAAAAAGTTAGTTTTATTATTATTATTTATTATGAACGTAATGATAATTAATCTCTGATTTTGAAATAGAACACCAAAACTTAGGGGAAAAGTAACATTTTCGAGTACTGCAAGAAGGATGCAGAGATTTCGCCAACCACAAAAAATGCAAGGCCCACTATTTCCTATAGAAGACAATGAACTCATTGATGCAATAAATGATTACAAAAATATTCCACATGAAAATACTACTAATAATAGTGAAGATGAAGACTGTAAACCGGATATATCGTTTGATGCAGAGAATCACATGGAAGTGATAGAAGTTGATGACATTGATATGGAAAGTAATGAATTTAATGATGAGGTTGAAAGTGAAACTTTTAATGAAAAGGAAAATGTTTCAAAAAATATTAAAAAAGAAAAAGATGCAACTGTGAATATGTTTTGTAAGTATCTAATATTATTTAAATCATGTATTTTTTACTTTTATCATAATATTCCTTTATTTTAGGTTGTATTTATTGCAATAAGTGGCAAGAACCTCAACTTTTTGAATTTGTACCTAATCAAAAATCTAAAACAATTGAATTGAGAGAAAAATTAGAAAAAGATAATGTACCATTACCTATTGATTGTTCTAGTCCAGTTATTGTTAGTCCTTCTGAAAATATATTAGATAATAATCAAACTTCTACTCTTGACTATTCTGAAGTTCATGAAGACATATCTCAAACTAATGATAGTAATAAAGACACATTTAAACAAGAAAACGATGAAAGTGTAGATGAAGATAATAGTATTTTAGAAACTGCTAATCCAGACACATTTAAACAAGAAAACGATAGTGTAGATGCGAGTATTAGTATTTCAGAAAATGATAATCCAGAAGCACATGAATTACATGAATCATCTAGTCAAGAAGAAAAAAAAAAAAAAAARMTGAACGCAAATTAGGATTTTTACAGATGCGAATAGATTCTACAATATATTTTGATAATATGGGTTATAGTTACCAAATACAGAATGAAAAAAATGATAAAAAGTAAGTAATTTATCCAACAAATTAAAATCATGTAATTGACATTTTTAAAATATGTTTAACAATTTATTTATAGGTACTTAAGATGTGTTGTTTGGGGTAAAAAGAAGTGTCCGGGTCGAGCCCATTTAAACGTAAAGACATTGAGTATTATTAGGTCTAGAGGTCACAATCACTTACCATCATCTAATTGTGATGCTGAAAAACAAGCTAGAGCATTTTTGCATGCTATTAAACAAAGGGCTCAAGATGAAGATACTCCCTTAAAAACCATTTATGCTGAAGAAATACTGAAGTAATTAAGAATAAATTATAACTACTAAAATAAATACTAATTATAAAAAAATGTTTAGCTTTCCTCTTGCTAGTAATGTGGTTAATTATGCAAATGCTACCAGACGAATGCAACGGACAAGGAGATTGAAAAATCAACCCAGTACAGTATTACAAAAAGAACCACCATTATTATTATCTGTTCAAGTGATACCGGGTACTCGTCGTGGAACGTCTTTATACTTGGATGAACTAGGTTATTATTACCATAATGATGCATTAACCAACAATGGAAAGTAAATACAAATACTATTTTTACTTTGGAAGTGTTAATTAAGTAAGAATGTATGTAAGTTGTGCTAATTTAAATAATTTGTAGAATAGTAAGATGTACCAAAAATAGAAAAACAGCAACTGATGAAGCGTGTCATTCGAGAGGATTTATGCGTGCATCAGGAGATGGATTTGTCATATACAGAACTAAAGATCATAATCATCCACCAGTGGATCTAAAAAGAAATCCATTGGAACGATCATTCATTAATACCTTATGTGAACGGGCACGAAATGAGCTTCACCTGGGTCTTAAAGAGATTTACAATGAAGAAGTTGAAAGGTTTAAAAAATAATTAATTTTTAGCTGCTCAGAATCTAAAACTTTACAAAAAAAATTTTAAATTAAAATTGTATATGTTTGCTGAGATCTAATTTGAAAACAAAGTATATGGCTATGCTTAACTTGGTATTAGTTATAAATTATTAAATTTGAGAGCAAAATAAATGCTCATATTTGAAAAAAAAGATTTTTATTGGAGTTTAGTGGTTTTGGATTGAATGTCTTTATTTTTATTTTGTGTTGTATATGATTGGCTATTATTTGACTAATAATTAGTTTTATTGAAATATGTTTTTTATTACAAAAATTTGGGAAAACAATTGTTTTTTTTTTAAATCTACAAAAAAATTTAAAAATTGTCACAGAAACAAAAACTCATTGCTAATTTTAATAGATTTTATATGACTTGATAAAAAAGTGCAAACTCTTGTATTTTTCCTATCACGGTGAATGTGTGCCGCAGACTTGAAAAAAATGGTAATTTTTATCCCAATTAAGCTGGAGTGTTAATAAAGAACTCATAATTAACTGGTTTATTTCATGTTTAGGGGGGGGGGATTTTGCTGACATGCCTGTCTATTTTATCATGATACTATCTAAACTAAATAATACAATTTTGTTTGACTTGGTGTTCAGTAACCAGAATATTAACTATAAATTGTTGGCTGATTGTAAATATTAGATAATAAATGTATATTTTAATGCTAATATGTTTTAATTTTTCATTATTGCATGAATAAATTATATACATAATATTTTATATCTACAAATTTTAAAAAGCCTTTGCAATGCTTAGTACACAGTACACCTGCAGTTAAAATACCCTAACATTTCCTCGATAAATTTCCTATACAGTTAGTTTTTCCATTAATTCAGTGCCCAAATTGTGTTGATATAATATCATTATAGTATTATTCATTAATTATTTGTATCAATAGAAAAATTGTTTAATGTACTATAGATTTATTGATGCGGCAGAAAAAATTCCTTATCGAATGGCATGGCGGAGTATGGCAAGAACAAGACAACCTCCTAAAGTATCTGGTGAAGTAAAATTAGTTAGTGTATCAGTTATATCTGATGGAATGGTCATGTGGGATGGATATACACTGTATAGAGATGAAATAGGATTTTTATACTCATTAAGGAAAGGAAGAAAGTAATTTTTTAGTTCATGTTTTATAATTATTTATGGTTTTTATCATTTAAATGATCTTTTCTAGATTTGCATGGTGTCAAATGAATACAAAATTAAAATGTTCAGTTAAAGGCTCAATATCAGTTGAAAATGATACTACAATGTTAGAGTTTACTGGAGAACACAATCATTTACCTTTGAGTAACGATGAGTTTCAAGCAGCTATTTTTCTTGAAAAAATAATGCTTAAATGTTTGGAAGATGATAGTAAACCAAAGAAATTGTATGATGAAGAATTAGTTAAGTATGTTCACTTTTGATAAATAAATTATTCAAAAAATATGTCAGTATTGATATTTGTTTTTACATTTATACAATTAGCTTTCCTGGTGTTGAAAAACGAGTATCATTAGCATATGCACGCGAGAAAATAAAAGCCAGGAGAAAAAGTGCATTAAAAAAAAATTCATCACATGAATTGTTAGAAACAACCTGTGAACCATTGAAATATATTGAGTTTTGGGATGAAGAGAATAACTCTATTGATGATGAAGACTTAAATGAGGATATATACTCTGATGGTGACGATTTTAGTGAAAAGTCTAAGGATTCTTATGATATCTACTCAGATGAACAAGGATTCAAATTTACAATAGTCAGTGTAAAAGATGAAACTAGGTAAATTTTTATTTTTTTCTAATCGATTTCTTACCTTTGGATCATAAATTATAAGTTATATTATTAATTATAGATATTTAGAGTGTATACAGAAGCACACTGGATGCAATGCCAAAGGAGAAATGTTTAAAGGCGAAAATGATGAGTGGCTATTTGTTCTTCATAGCTACTCCCACAACCATTTACCTCACGATGATCATTCAAATGATGAATAAAAGTTTGATTAAAAGTCAATAGATAGTTAAAATTGTGAAATTTAATATTTTCAATTGAGTCATTGCATTATTTTTCTTCGTGGTGTCTTATATGAACTATCTTGTTCTATATATTATTCTTACTAGTTTCCATGTATATATAAATAAATGTTTTAATAATTCTTAACACAATAATATAATGGCTTTATTTTAAAATATACAATATCAATATTAAATTATAATAACATATTTTTTTCATAATTTAATTTAATAATTTAGGCAGTTTGTCAAGTGTGACCATACTTTCCAGCTAATTTGGTCATCTTAAATATAATTAGTAGGGCAGAGTGTTAGGAACAAGAATTGATAAATATTTTTAACATTACTACATATTACTTCTCAATAAAGAAAATATATTTGTGTATTATATAATCACAATGTTTTGGTTATTATTAGTTAAATGTATTTTGTATGTGTTTTTTTTTTGAAATATAATTCAATATATTCTCCAGTATCTTGAGAGTTGATGTATCATTTTAATGTATTATACATATCAAGTAATATGGACATACTGGCGAAGACTGCTTGAGATTTGGAACAACTGAATAATTTGGTTGAGAATTTTATTCATATATTTTATTAAAGAGAAAGCTAAATTCCTCAATATTTGTACCATTGCATATGGACAACTTTGAAGTAAAGAGCATTAATAATTATTCACTAACAGGCTATTGTTCTTCATCACTGCCATCTCAAAAAGTATATCATTGTGATCAGTAGTGGCATGAACTATTTTATTTCACGAGACAAAAATACCGAACCAATCCATTTCTCTATAATGTAACGTAAAGTACCTAATATTTACCCAGGTATGTATGTCGTATGTGACTATGTGAGTGTAAATTATTAACTAGTCATATATACCTTGGAGTCATTGGGTACCTACTACCACTTTTGCATGAGGCCATCGCCTCATAAATTAGCTATTCATGCCGCCACTGATTGTGATGCACAACAAAACATTGGACTGTTGAACGGTTTGGCAATTGTAGACAATTATCGACTTTCAGAACATTAAGAATGTATGAAGGGAGAGAGAGGATCAATTATTCTTGATCATTAGCTTAGAATTAAAAATTCTCTGCACTTCTTTTAACTTGCAACACTAAATAGTAAATATTGAATAAATTGATATTATTTTGTAGTAACTCAAAAACTGATGATCGTAGATACTTACAATTTTTGCCAAATATTTAATTTTACTTTTTATAGGCATGGTTAAATTTTAAAACAATTTATAAGTTAAAAATAGTATAATTTAAAAATTATCGAATCTGTAAAATTAGTGTCACAATTTTTTAAGTTCCATTACTTATCATTAGATATTAAAATATATGAAATATAATTTTTAATAGAATTACATTAAACCAGAACACATGAATTCACTATACATTTGAAACAGAAAATAGATTAATAGGAAAATATAATAATCAAAACTATTCATTTATTTATTTATTTATTTGCATATTTGTTTATTTCATATATATATCTCTTACAACTACATGAAAAATAATCACAGACTTTTTTTATAATCGCATTACACACATTATATTGAAATAATTATAATAATTTTTTAGGCGACAATAAAAATAATTTACATTTCTACATTTACAGGTATTTCATTGATCAATGATTAAAAAAAAAAAAAACTAATCAAGAACAATAATCATTTAAAGTATATTCAATTACACTTAAAATTAATTGTATAAGTTCTAGGCTACCATTATAATACAAATCTAAAAATAAGAAAAATTGGTGTTCAAAAAAAAAAAAAGTAGGCGCCTAAGTATGCATAATGTATAATTATATATATAATGCCTAAAATCTATATTTATAAAAGTATATATATAATATAATTCAAATATAAAACAATAATTTTCTATTACATTGAATAACATTTGATATTTTTTTATCAAATATTTTATAAGTTTACAATTGGTAAACACAATTATCAAAGATATATAATATCTAATAATTACAAACAAAAAAAACAAATACATAAGCTATGTATGGAAGTTGTACACATAATAATAATAATAATGTAAACATTAAAATTTAACAAGATATTTTAAGTTGTCACAAGTTGATAGTCATCCAAGTTGAAAATGTAAATTTTTAATAATAATAAAATGCCGCTGGTGTTGTTTTGTAGTAGAAAATGCTTTTGGATACCTACATCTGTGGCAAAATATAAAAATTCATACTTCGGTTAAAAATTGACAACATTCGATTTGCTTACTCAATACGTAACACATATGAAAACGGTTTTAAAAACACGAAACGGAGTGAACAAAATACAAATAACTATATTACATTTTTTGTTTACAATATGTCCGTTTTACAAAATAAAAACATACAATTCATATTTGTAAGCCCAATTAATAGTAATTTAATTACAATTTTAGCATTTAATTACTTCATATACTGAAATTGGATCTCATAAAATAAAAAAATAATTACTACATTACTAATAAAAATAAATCAGTGAATTAATATTAAAGCATGAGAAATAGGGCCAACAAAAATGATATAATAACAATACTAACTAAATTGTAAAAAGAATTCTTATGTAACCACAATAAATATAAAATTTATTAAAGTAAGTAGTCATATTTTCATGACTAATATATAGTTAATATAAATTAAATTGTTTTTCCAAAAAATTACATTTCATTTTAAATTATAACTGTAATTTAAATTAGAATTGGAATATTAAATATTCTTAGTATGACAGAAAATCAAACAATTGATAGTAATAAATGATATATTACATTCTTAGAATAAACAATTTTAAAATATATATATATAATAAAAAATGTTTAAGCTTTAAAGTTTAAATAATAATTATTAAACATACAGTGAGTTTTGTAAAATGGACATAATACATTTAGTTGTTCACAAAAGATATAACTATTTATAACAATCAAATTAACATAACTTGTTATTATTATCATCACATAATTTCATAAATATAATATAAATTATAAATCAATTTGATAATTTTTATTCAATATTAGTACATTAGATATAAACCTAATAATACATAACTATAAAATAATATCATAAATAAAAAAGTGTAATTTTTTATTATAATATCTGAATAAAACAGTGTTGATTAAAAATTTTAAATTATAAACTTCATAATATTTGTTTGATGTTTTTATATGTTTATTTAATCAATATAAATGTATAAAATATATAATTTATAAGTGACTTAATTCTTAAGAATTATTTATACACAGTAGAACCTCGATTATCCGAACTTATTGGGACCGCACCTAGTTCGGATACGCAAAAGTTCAGATATTGGAAATTTAAAAAAAAAAAATTAGAATTACGTATGTATTAACTATTTATTATTTTTATAATTAAATATTTATTATTGTTATTAATATTTTATTAGAATTACATACATTACATTAGAATTTCTATTTTTTGTTCCATCGTAAAGAACATGACGTTTACGTTTATAAGTTTATTAGACACTTTAAATACACTTGACAATCGTAATATTGGTAGAGACCCGAACTAAACTGACAACTGACAAGTAAAACCGAGGACGTCGTTTAGATAAGCCCGTTGCGTTTTGGTTATCTACTAATGATCGACGCACGTAAAATATACATACATAACCTGTACTAATAATAATCCAAAAACGATAGTTGTGATAAATTCGATAACCGGCCAGATATGAATTTTCATGTTCGGATACACTAATTATAGTTCGGATAATATAAGGTTCGTATAACCGAGGTTCGGATAATCGAGGTTCTACTGTACCTCTGCTTATCCGAGTCATATACATTGCATAACCATTAGCAAGAATTACCACATTGAAGACACTTATTTAGGTAATTAACTTGTAATATATTAAATTGGAGTGAACATTTAAGACACCTTGTTAAACTTATTTATTATTTGTATTAGAAACAAGTTAAGCAAATTTTCAAGTTTATAATTTCGGATTCTTAGTGTAGCAATGAATGTATTTGGATTTTCTTTTTTTGTCTGAATATTTAAAAAGAATACTTATTGCTACTTTTAAAAATATGAACATATGTTAAAATTTTAAAACAATTGTTTGGAAACTTTGGTTACTAAAAAATTACTGTTCTTTTACTAAAGATTTTTCTATAATTGTCGATAAAAATACTCTTTTTTAATACAATGTTCCTTAAGTTGTTAATACTGAAATAAAATAAAATAATTTTGCCCGAAATTTCACAAATATTGTAAATAAGATATTAAATAAATTTATCTTAATACTAATAGTAAAACCATTTGCTTTAAAAGCAATAAAAAAATATATCATGACTATACTTGGTAATATAGGATGACTGACCGTATTTGCTAAGAATCGTTTTTGTAGACAATTTTAAATTGACACATACATTAGTGATAAACTTAATAACTCGGAAAGCTTAACTGATTATACAGGAGAGAAGTTAACTACATTCATCCTTTTTTAATTTATAAATATTAAAAAAGTCTATGGGCACCCAAATATATAATATTTAAATTAACTCTGATATAAAATTGAAACAAGTTAAAAACACTTGCAGGTTATGTTCTCAAAAGCCGGATTTACACTACATTATGTCATATTATTATGTTCTGTATATTTAAAACATTGTTAACTTGTGACTAGCAATTAAATTATATTCAACTTTACTTTTGTTAAAATGTAATGGGTAACCCAGTTACTGCAGTTGTCAGTTGAAAACAATTTTAAAGTGGCTTGATTAGACATTGGGCAAATTATGAAAAATATATGTCTGGCTTAAATTGTTATACATAAAAAAAATAGAATGGCAGCCCATKCCTTAAATATTGAACACAACTTTACATATACAAGTGGTACGAAATTATGACATCTGGCAGGATACCTACGCATTAGTAGTGGTAGTGATGTTATATTGCATGTAGGGTATTTATTATTTTAATAGTGAAACTTATGAATAAATACCATAGAACGTTCTATCAAGACCAAATCATCAATTGATCTAAAACATGTTTCTAAGAATATACGACATCTAGACAAAAAGATTTAATTGCTTTTTATAAATAATTCAAAATTCTATACACTTATATACCAATAATATACAGGATGATTGATTTATCAAACAACACTCATTATTTAAAAAAGTATTGACTTTTTTCAAAATATTTTTTTACCAAGTTTCAAGTTGTTAAAAAACCAATGTTTTTATTAAAAAAATTATATTTTTAAATATTTTCTATCCTTATCATTTTTTAAGTTTTTTTACTTTTATGAATGACAACATAGTTTTTTAATGTCATATTCCCAAGCAGAATATGTTTTTAAGTATTTTGATTCATAAAAATCGAATTTAGGACTAGTAGTTCATAAACTACTAGTCCTAAATCACTCATAAGTGATAAGTATTTAAAGTTTTGATTGGCAGAGTGGAGTGGTATGGGGTTACCCAGCAAAATGTTTGTCCACTACTCCGCTTGACTAAACTTAAAATACTTATAACTCATAAACTACTTGTCCTAAATTCGATTTTTATGAGTCAAAATATTTAGAAAAATATTCTGCTTGGGAATATGAAATTAAAAAAAAACCTATGTTGTTATTTAAAAAAGTAAAAAACTTAAAAAATGATATAGATAAAAAATATATTTTTTTAAATAAAAACGTTGGGTTTTTAACAACTTGAAACTTTGTAAAAAAATATTTTGAAAAAAGTCAATACTTTTTGAAATAATTTTTTTTTTTTTTATAAATCTATCATCCTGTATATATATATATAAAAATGCCCGAGGTGTTACCAAGAATCTTAAAAATAAATATGTAAATGTAATATGTATATTAGTTAATTAAATTCATATATATAAACAAACAATTTTAAAGTATTTTTTGATAATAATTATTAAACATTTCACTCTAAAGTTGTATACTCTTGGAAACGCATTTATTTGACCAAGGACAATTTGGTTTTAAAAAAAGTATGACATTATATTATAATTTATTTAATATGAATTATTAAACATCAAACACATTAGAAGCAATTGTTAAACATTTTAACTTTTAAGGTTATTGTTAGTTGAAAATTGTTGAAAGCCTTATCTTATTTTAGCAAACAACATTTGAGTAATTAACAGGTCTATTATAAAATTATTATTTTTAAAACTTCTTAATTGAAACCTTTTAATCAACACTGAAAACAAATTTTAAAATACATTGAAACATTCACTCCGTTCCATAATACATTTTAATTTCAAAAGTTAAATAACAATAATATAATAACTAGAATATTGTATTTGTTAATCACTTAACAATAAATTGTAACTTAAACAGGACATTTTGGAGGTAAAATTAAATATTAAAAGTATAGTAAATATAATTTATAGGATTTGTTTTATAAATAAATATTTGTGTGAATGTATGGAGTGAATAATGTAATGAACTTTGGGAAAGGAATCATTAACTGTTCAATACTGTAACAATATTGTTATTATTAATATTTAGATACTGTCATACAAAAGTTTTCAATAGTTAAATTTAATATCTTAACCAGGTAAAATCCGAGCCTAATTAAAATAAAAAAGTAAATTTGCAAATTATTGTACTCAAAACTAAAAATATATGAAAATTGAAAATAGAAGTTACCAATAAATAAAAATAAAAATATAGTATATATTATGAAATCTATGAAACATAAATAGCTTAAGATGAAATCAAATACATAATTATATTACTTCAACTACATAATTGTTAGTCTAACATTAAAAAAATATGTAACTTGATTAATATAAAAAATGAATGAATCAAAAGTGATTGATGAAACATAAGGAATGAATGTTGCATAAATTAAATACAGTCTTATGAGTTCAAGAAAAATCAGTCTCTTTAAATACAATTAGTAATCTATTTGAATTTAATAATAAAATCAATATATATTATTATTTTACTTAGGAATAATACTGGTTAAACAAGCTAACGTATAATAAAAGGGATAAAACTTAAAAATAGAATAGAATATGGGACAACAAATTGACAATTTTAATTTCAAATTTTGATGTACAATATTTGTGAAATTGGTTTATTTTGTATAATACTATCTTTATGGGTAGAAATGTTTTCTATCATACTGGATTATTAATTGTACACAATTGTAATCAAGATATTTTTGAAAATGTCCTTGTAGTTTAGAATCTTAAATAAATCAAGTATACAACACACTTATTAGTGTCCCAAATTTAATATTTACCAATAAAATTAAACGATAATTTAAATATCAAATAGCACGAGCTTATTGGGTAATAAATATTAAAAAATATAACTTTTGAAGAATGGAATGTAAATAAAATATACATCTATGAATAAAAATTAATTAATTGCTATTATGAATCAAAAGAATAAACTAAACTACAATTAATTTGAATTTTGGAGAACACCATAAAAGTAAAATGAAAACAAAATAGTTGTCATATAATAAATTGACCAAGGGGATAAAAATGCATGTGATTAGGACATAAAATACCTGATCGAAAGTTGTAACATTAATGTTACGCTTTATGATCTTCCTTAGTCCTTTTTGATTTGTATTATCATTATTAACTCCTGTTGTTCTCAAATGCACTGGTCCTTTCTTTAATTTACCCTTTAGACGTTTGACACTTGCATACGATTCTATGGCATCATTAAAATCTTCGTGAACTAAATTGTAAAAAATATATATTAATATTAATAATTTTTACTTTAAAATTTACATAATTAACAGCAAACAAACAATGTAATAGTATTGAAAAAAATTAAAAGAAATGGTTTGTTGTTTTGATGGAAAAGATCAATAATTAATAATAGTACAGATAGATAGATTTTCTTATCTCCATCTTCAATAGGTAGCTAATACTTAGAAATGAGTTTTAAAGATAGACTTTGTGTAAAGAAGTATGATTTGTAAGATATTTTGAAATTTACCAGTGTTTCTAAAAGTGTACCATGAATATTTGTTGGTCTAAATCTATAAATACACGATAAAAGAAGGAACCTAGAACTCAGAATGTTTGTGCGTATACGTGATATCTATTTGGTTATCAGTCATTCACTCATGCATAGTAATAACTAGAGCACAAAAGTTGGACTTAAAAACATTAAAAAACTACAAATATTTGTTTTAAATAAACAAAAATAAGTTTTTAAATATTTATTAATACATATTGTCCACAAATTTTGACACAAATCCATGTAAAAAAGCACTAACTGATGTATTAATTTTCATAATTTTAAAAATAATAAAATATAGGTACAATAATAATATGTTATTCACTATAACACAATAAAGACGTAATGACTGTAATTGGCGAGATAAAATCAGATACTAATTGAACATTAGAAAAAATAATAAAATGTAGATATAATAATATTCACTACTAATCTTAGACCGTGGTATATCGGTCTAATAGTCAACAAAAAATGATAAGAACTAAGAAGTGAATTAATAGTAAGTTAATGAGAGAGCAATTTTATTATACAGTAGGTAAATATTATTTGACAAATGATATGATTTAATGTGAGTTTTCAATTAATCGATATTTTTCAATACACTTATGGGAAATCAATAAAAATGCAAAATAAAATTTAGTTATTCAGATTCACGATAATATGCTAATGAAACACATTTGTGGCCAAGAGAGCATTGTCTAAAAAGTTCAAAGATAAAATACAATAAACCTCAAATACTGAGCCTTAACCTTTTCAATCAATATTTAGCATCAAATCTAATAGATAGACATATACGAGTATGGCTACATCCATAGTATATTACTTACGGTCTGAATAGATATTGTTTTATACATAGTGGTTAACATAATTTAAAAGCATAACATTTTGGACTGAAAAATCAGTATTAAGAAATTTTAATGAACCATTAAATTATGTTGAAACAACATTCATTGGAAAGATAAGTTTTTTTAATACCTAGTTATATTGGGTTGTTAAACATCTTTTTAGTTAGATATGCTGAACAATTTTGAAAGAGTATTCTATTACTTATAGAATTATGTTTATGAGAGATGGAAATACCAAGAGATAATAATATTTAAATGGAAACATAATTTTTACCATTGTCAGTCCTTGTTTTGTCTCGATTCATTACAATTACTCTTCGACCATCTGAGTTACCTGAAAAATAAAAATTATTTTTMATTCATTTATATCAGAGATAAAATTATAATTGTTTTCATAACAAAAATATGCTTATTTAAAATGAGTAATTGATAATTGTTTTACTATTACATAGTAATTAAAATAACAAGTTAATGAGCAGCAAAAAAATGTTTTTTATAAAAATAAAAAAACTCAAAAGTTATAGGACTTATAATAGACAACATTTAAAACAAACTAAATGTTTAGATGTATTACTTATTAAAATTATTGTATTGTTAGTTTGTATATTAAAAATTGTGTTATTAAATAACTAAATATTATCAGTATCTTAATAGTACTATCAAAAATATATTTTCATAATATTTGTGAAGTTATATAATGTACACCCCCCAACTTTTGAGGTCTAGTTTTTAAGTATAAATTAAGAGGATGCTACACCCGCACGTGCTGTCTTCACCTTACAAGTGGGTAACATAGAAAATTGTACGCTCAGCAGATCACTTTCAGCTCCGTTAGTTAAAAATTTAGAGTGAATTGACCTCTTATAAAAATTCAAGGTACCATTTTTATCGAGGACTCCCATAGGCTTTTTATTAAATTTTAATTTTAAAGCGAGTTATGAGTATTTTAAAATTGTAAATTGTTAGTATATCTTAAAATACTCATAACTCACTTTAAAGTTAAAGTATAATCAAAAGCTTATAAGGAGCTCTCGATAAAAATGGTATATTGAATTTTTATAAGAGGTCAATTCACTCTAAATTTTAAACTAACGGAGGTTAACGTGATCTGCTGAGCGTAAAATTTTCTATGTTACGCACTCGTACGACAAAGACAACACATGTGAGTGTAGTGTTTTCTTAAAAAAGTTTAAAAAAAACTTAAATTATATCACAAACCTTCTGTTTTGATGCTAATTTCCGGTATTTTAGAATGTTTTTTTCTTTTAACTTCATTAGTACTGCTAAAAATATTCATAAATGTTCAGTTAAAATGATTTATAAAATCTTTAGTGTATTATAAAGTAAATTACTGTAGTCATACCTTGAACCAACAACACCTCTTATAGCTGACTGTAATAACCGTGCAGGATAAAATGATTCAGGTTTTTTCTTTACTTCCACTTGAATCTAAACATTCAATACAAATCATTAAGAAATAATACTTAAATATATATATATATATATATATATATTAATTTCTTATTTATATTCACCATATTTAATCGAAGTGCTCTTCTGCGTTTTAGTTCTGTTCTAAGATCAACTGTATCATTACAATGTAAGGATTCTTTTTTATCATCAACTCTTTGGTGATGCTCTTCAATTTCGTCGTCTTCTTCTTCTTCTTCTTCTTCAATATATTCCTCGCAACTATCACTGGAGTTTTGTCCATCTTCTTTTTCACTTTCTTCATCTACATTTTCTTCAGATACTTCCTCCTCTGATACTTCTTCATCTGATACTTCTTCTTCTGATGCACTAGATACTTCTACTGCTTCAGAATGTATCATATTTGTAACAGTGGTATTTGATTCAGAAATATTCTCAACAAGTTTATCAGCATTGTCATCTAAAAAAAATCAATATACAACAAATAAATTTACAATTTTAGTAAAATTAAGATTATATCAAACCTCCTTCAACAGCTGTTTCATTTTTTTCCTCATGTCCAAACACGATCCTGGGTCGCTTCTTATTACATATTTTGTCTGAAGGAGTATTTACTTTTACAACTCTTCGTAAATGAACAGCTTCCATATCATTATTCATTTTAAAGCTTATATTTTTTGGAATCTGGAAGGAATGTGCAACTTTTTTCACTTTCTTTGTTAAATGATTAGTTTTTGGTTTTAATTCTGGTGTATTCTTTTCATTTTCAGTCTGAATTGCTACTGGAACTGAATTGGTTTTTTTTAACACAATTTTTTTACTGGTTGGTTCAATTGGCTTGTTGGATTCAAATTTCCTTTTTCTTGCTTCTAAAACAGGATCTATTGGCCTGAATTCTACTTGGTTATCTACAAGTTTAACTTTTTCTTTTTTCCTTAAGTGATCATCTTCTGTAATTTTACTATCCTTACGTCGAGTATTCGGAGGAGATAATGGTCTTGACCTTGTAAGTTTTTTTAATGGACTAGGTGATCTTCTTCTAACAGGTGGTCTTACCTTAGGTGATCTAGATTTTGATTTAATTTTGAGTGGAGATCTACTTCTTCTCCTTAACGGTGATAAACGTCTTCTACTAGGTGATATATCACGTGATATAGATCTGCGCCTTCTTCTTGGAGATGGTGAACGATAGGGATAGCGAGATTTAAGTGGCGAATATCGTCTAGGGGAGAGATTTTTTTCCCTTAGTGGTGACAAGCGTCTAGGTGATTTTCTAGGTGACAAAGACCTACGATAGGGCCTTGATCGTGGAGATGGATATCTATATCTGTCAATAGAGGGAGATCTTCTTCGTGGTGATCTTAACAATGGTGACCTTCTTTGAAGTTTACTATAGGGAGACATCGACCTTTTTCTAAGTGGTGGCGATGGAGATCTCAAGGGTACACGCGATTTTAATAAGCTAGATTGTGATGAAGTGTTTCTAATTTCTTCTAAAGTTTTAATAGATTCTAATTCTTCTTCTGGTGGATTTAATTGAGGTTTGAAATCTTCAAWAATCTTGGGTTGATTTAAAGGTATAGGAGATTCATCTATTTTAGTTTTAGCATCCAACTTATTTTTTACTGTACCCTTATCTTTTTTATTTTTTTGTTTTGAGCTTTTTTTTTCTTTTTTAGATGATTTAACATTTCCACCAGCTATTTCAGCCTCCATAATATCCATTAATTTATCAAGATCATCTAAATCTTCATCTTCTTCGCCTAATAATAAGACATCTCCATCATCTGAATCTTCTTTTCCATCTTCTGCTTCACTATCATCACTTTCTTCAGAACCAGATTCATTTTCTAATCTGCTAAATTTTGTAGAAACTGAAAAAAAAAGAAATACATATAAAATTAATAATATGTAGTATACATTTTAAGGGTCCTTGATATTAATATAATATTTTATTTAATTACCTTCATTATTCAAATCCTGAAAATTTGTCAATTTGGTGGAATCTGAAGTATTCATATTATGTTTTGAATTAGTATTTTTAGAGAAATTCTTGGGTATGGAATCATTTAGGGCATCACCTTCACTATCTGTTGGTATAATTGCAATCAAATTGTTGTTTGCATGAGTTGGTCTTCGAAAACCAACCTATAATGAGAATAATCATTTTATAAATGAATGTATTTTAACCATAAAATTAATTCTTACTTACATTAGTGTATGTGCGTTTATTATATAATCTATTTGGTGCTGGAAAGCAGCGTCCTCTGTTATTACTTCTTGCAAGATTATTAAACGAATTACCATTTCCAAACTTATTAAATTCTCCAGATGTACTACTTATTGCATTTATAGGCAAATTAGATTTTTTTTTGAACGTCATTAGCGCAGCTAGACGTAACTTTTCAACATCGTCATCATCAATAGTCTATTTAACATAACAAATAATTCATAACAATCAATATTAAAAATTAATATAATACCTATAGCCTATAACTTATGCTTTAATATTACTAGGCTATGTTCTTCAAAATGATCACTACCTAATAAAGAATAAAGATTAAAACAATTTAATTAAAGCTGGACCTTAATCAAAGCCTACATTTTTGATACCTTGATTTATTCCAGATGTTTGACATAGAACAGTGATGAGAATTTTAAATACTCGATATTTATGATTATCAAATGCAGTCATAATACGGTTAAAAGGTAACAGACATAATGATATAATGTACAGTATTATTTAAGTCAACAAATTGGTACTATATAAGTAGGGTTCGGATTAGAAGGCAAAAGCCTTTCTCTYWATAATCATGAAAAAAATTAATTTTTATACAAAAATGTGTTTCATTTAATTCGTAAGACGATGAATGTATTTTTGCCTTTTTTATGTTTAATTTTCAGTTGATTATTAAATCAATTTTATACTCAGCTGTTATCGGTATAGATTGATAGGAGCTTATGAAAATGTTGCATCGTCAACATTATATAGCTATAATGATATATCCATTACCACCTTATCGAGTATTTGATGTGGCCATAAAAGTTATTTAAAGATTAAAATATGTTTAGATTGCGTATATTCAAGACTGTTCGTCAGTTTGCACTTGTCAACCGCAATTGGCATTTAATAATTTTTTCACATGTTTATTTTATTGTTTTTTTTTTTTTTTTTAATTATGCCAAAAGTTAAACAAAATCACAATTCTAAATTGATTTTTTTTTAATACCAACTAGTTATTGTATTTATTTTTGTAGAATATTTTTGAATTGCTTTTTTATGTAGGTAAATTGAATGCCTTATTTTTACATTTTAAATGCTTTTTTTTATTGATTATGTTGCCTTCAAATCTAAACCCTATATATAAGACTCAATACCTGAACCCATTTACATAAATATTAATTATTGTCTCAATCTAAGAAAATTATGTTGCTACCACAATCAAACCAATAATCCAGAAATTAAATTGATGGCATTAGTTTAAAGTTTAAAGTGCCTTTAATTTATTTATGTCTTGGAATGCTATTCTTCAAATCCGCAATAAAGTTCAGGAGTAAAAAGAGTACATATGTCACATGAAACAAATTGAAGTCATCTTACCTCTACATCTAATCTCATTTAAAGACCAACATTTTATATCTCTTAAGAAAACAACCAAATAAACTACAATTTTCACAATTCACTTAAACCTAAAATAAAGTATTTTGAATATTTAGACATTATTTGTATTTTATTACAATATATTGTCACTATACCTATAAGAGAACACAGCAAAGACTGTCTAGTGCGGGATAGAATCACTTAGTCTGTACTCCAAGCAGAAACAACAAAAGTTAACACAGAATAGAAGATAATATTTTCTGTGTCGTAGTGTTTTTATTTGTTTGATATCATTAATAAAAAAAAGTTTTCCAAACTTTAATAACTTTTAATATATTGATTTTATCGAAAAAAATAAAACAGTGCGACATACTTAAAATTCTCCTTTTTTCATGGTGAAAATTTGGTTTCTTAGTTAAAACTGTACACTTTTTGATTATTTTCCACACAGAACAGTGCTTGGTAAGTTATGCACTTATAAGATGGAGACAAAAAATGCAGGTATCACATCCTCTATTCTAAATTATAATTATAATTATCATGTTTCAAAACAAATCTGCTTTTATCAACCATGCATATAAAAACATATTGGGAAAATTAGGTACACTAGAATAAATTAATACTGACAGTGTTGGTAAAAAACGTAATGCAAACAATCTTTAAATTTTAGATAATTATAAGTTTACTGTTACCTATATTATTAAAAAGATTAACATATGGTATTTCTCACATAACCTATACGGCTAAACATAGTAAAATTTATACTGAATATTTCAAAAATAATCAATAAATTATGACCACACATATGAGCATTTAAATCTTAAGTGATTTCAAGTTTAAACATATTTAAACTAACGTTAATAGATGCACTACATATAATATCAATCGTGATATTCATGTGATAAATATGTTCAATAAGGCGTTAATACTCACATTATAATCCATTTTTTTATTGATCCACTTCAATAATTACTGTAGATTATGTAGATTATACTGAATACAGAAAAACAAGAAACTAGAATGATTGAAACATGTTACTAAAAGATACAAATTTACACAATGCAGGAATTACTAATCAATATATAATAATAATTAAGAAAAAACAATCAACAACAACGCAAAGCTTTTAGTTTTTACACGAACTCCCGTCTCACAGGAGGACAGGACTAAAAAAAGTCAATACAAAAACAAATTTGCAAACATACAAATCATATATAACACATAGGCCATCGGAGCAATGAAGATGAAAAGAAAACCAAAACAATAACATAACAGATGATTCAAAGCAATAAGAAAATCTACAGTGTTGCAAACGTGCACATATAAGAATTACCAACATAAGTTTAGTTCTAATTTTCGGGGCTGGTACAGATTTCCCGATTTTGATAACAGCAGATATCATCAAAATCAAAATTCGGGAGATCAGTTTAGCCAACATTGAAAAAATAAAATTCCCGCATAAGATATTGTTTTTTTTTTACCCGACCAACTTTGCCAACATAAAAATACTAAAATCCTTTTTATTCGCCTTTAAAATATCTAAAAACCTAACTACCGCTTATCAATTATAAC